AAAATCGGATGGAATTTCCCAATATTTTCGTTTAATTGAATTCAGACGTAACCCTGAAATAAAGTAAGTTATTCAAACATAAAAACATACAAATGAAATGGTCTTGAATGATGACAACAATGACAATTGACTTTAGTTTGCTGACTATGATGGCGCTATGTTTCTTTTGACGTGATGTTTTAATAAATATATGGCTAATATCAGTGTCCCCTTAATACATTGATTATAATGTTACCTTTGGTATACCTGTTGCATAATGTGACAAAAAAAGCCAACCAATTGAAGTGATGTTGCTATGACAACGTTATCTTACAACGTCTCTGTAAAACATATCAGTCGCAGATACCTTTGAAAGCAATGTTTTGTGCAATTCTTTTTTTATGAAATGGTATATAGTTTTTTTTTAATTATGCAAATCTTACTGCATTTCCATGTTCATTACAGTCTTAAGTAACCTGCCATTGCAACCACTCAGTATATTAGGAACGCATTGTTTTCACTGAACGTAGATAATCACTAAGGAAACGTGCCCTTTTACAGTTGAGGAAATCAAATTCTATGTTAGTATGCCAAATATTACTACTTATGTTGCAGTGCAATGCTTTTAAGGAGTGCTGAACCGTGTACGCTTATAAGTCACTTATATTGTAGACACACCAAAATTGACCACTGCGGCGTAAAGAAACCATATAGTAAGTCAGTCGGTTTGCTATAATTTTAGTAATACGAGTTTCGGGTCAATGAAATTTGCTCACAATTCTGCGTTTGTGCTGATCAATCATTTAAAATATAATTTAGACACGATATAGTGTTGCCATGGCAACCTGTAATAGAAAGTATGTAGTTCATATGAATTATATGGTAAAAGAACAAGGTTACCACATAAACGGTACTGCCGACGTTATGAGAATACTACGTTACAGTGTTCGTGGAAATGTCATTATGATCATTGAAACTTAACTTGATGTAAGTTGTGAAAAAAAACATAACTTAATAACGTAATGTTACTCTAATAAAAAACACAGTAATTATAAAAGCACAACAGATTCATGATTTTTAGCTAATTTAGCTAATGAAAATTAACAAATAGAATGAAACATTCATAGAATAAAAAAAGTGTTTCTGTTACTACAAGTTTCATCATATCATATCATATCATATCATATCATATCATATCATATC